TATCCAAATTTACCTCTTATTTTGCAACAACAAATGCATGGCGGTATACGGTGTATGGCAAAAGCTCATCTTTTTGATTCCAAATCTCAGCTAACGCCGATGTTGGATTCATATTTATCATTACTTGGTATAGAGCGCCCATAAGACTAGCGGGAGCCTCAAACCAGTACCTTAAGGTTAGAGTGTAAACGAAGAACGTCTATACGATGCTAATCAGGATAATGCGCTTTTTGAAAAAAACCCTACGTTGAATCATAGCTTTGTAGATGCAGCTGATTCTCCTTTTGCTAATACTCAGACTGCGCGCGGACATAGTGGCGATGCGGTTTCAGTGTTCATGAGGCGCAATCAATTTTTAATCTACTACACCAGATGCTCTTGGGCGGCACAGCTTGGGGTTCTTCATGTCGCTAGTTATCTTTTATCATACTTGTGGATTGGATATATCCACTTACACCTTAAAAAAAGAAAGTTGGATTTTTGAGGGATTTTGATCATGTATTAGTCCTCAGAATTTATCCTGTATGCTTGTCTGGGACTCAATTTTCACCATATTTTTGTGGCTAGAAATTTAAAATGAGATTGTTTATACTTACAAATTTGGTTAACTGAGTAGAAACGTAGTGATTCTCATGAATGCGGCATCAAACTTCTCACTCTTTAAATTCATTTTTTCAGCGAATACCCATTTATAAAAGTAATGAAGGGGCGAGAGTTCACAAAGTGAAAGAGGCCCACCAATGTCTCGAATCTGGAGAACATGACGATTTCAAACAGGATATTGAGTATATTCTTAGTACAATGAAAGGAGATTCTTCAGCTAACATCAAGTGTTTAAGGTGAGGGCACACTTCCCTTTTGTTTCAAATCGAATAATATATTTCATATTTTAGTGCTATATCACTAGCTCGAAAGTGTGTGTCACCCGAGTTTCGACAGTTTATACGCAGTGAAGGCCTGGTTTCCAATGTATTCAAAGGTCTAGCGGAAGCTGCTAATGACCAGGTGACTTGAGAGATTGGCTTCTAGCTCAGAACCTAACTGACTATTTTATAAAATTCTTGTATTCTAGAATCTTGCTTTATGTGCGTCTACAGTAATATATCTTATGTCGAGAGATTTCATCTCTATACCTGTCGACGCACATTCATTGAGGCTATTGTCGCAACTACTGCGTATAGAGAAATTGGAGCAGAACGAGGAACAGAAGAAGTATGCAACTATGGTTAGTTTATGATTTTGAATCCAATCTTGATAGCTGCATGTTAGACATCATATTCAATCAACTTCGTTTTCTCTCTCTTATTAACTATACAACATTTTGCTTTTCGTAAAAAGGGATTCTTAGAATCAGTAGCATTAATTGAGGTTTGGGAAGTTTTCACCAACTATCTTGAACGCATGGAGGCTGTAGGAAAGAAAATTGT